TGGTCGAATAGCCAAAGGTTTGTACCAGCAGGTAATGTCCGTTACCACAAGGCTAATATAAAATATATTTGTGTGAGAGAAACAAAATAATTCCAGTGGCTTGCTCAAAACCCACATCCTAACCTTAAATAACGTCTTTAGAACTTCAGGAAGGATATATTTGAAACTGAAAGGTTAGACTACGGTCCTTCACTCTGTATCAAACGACTTCAAAATAACAAAGATGAATTTCATCAGACCTGTTAGAAAATATAGCTAACCGAATATTTCATGGAATAGCTACACCATATTTGACATAACGTTAAACAAATTGGTATAGTACTGGCCTGCAGTTACGAAAAGCTAAATTTCAATACCTGTATGAATAACTTGTAAGTTAAACCTACTTATATATAAGTTTAATTGATATGTAATTATTATTTTTTACAGGTTAACATAAAGGGTAGGAGCTCTAAGTGATTAAACAGTTACTTAAATTATTTATATTAGAAACTGAACATAATATTTTCAAATAATCTTAAATAGTACATAATAGTTTGTTTTGTTGCAGAATTTAGTGCAAAGCTAGTGAACACCGGCCACCGCAAATCTTGGGCTACTCTTTACCAACGAAGAGTGGGATTGACCGTCTAATTATAACCCCCATAACTGAAAGCGCGAGCGTGTTCAGTGACGCAGATTGTAAGCCGAGTACCCTAACCACCGGGCCATTGCCAGATGCATGGGTCTGTAAATAGGCTCTTCATTAATTAATGGCATTTACACATCAGCTATAAAAATATACAACTGTTAAATTATTTGGAATATTTCAGAGATTTTGCATGAGTATTTGATTCTTTTTTTCCTAATACTTTTCCTTCACCGCATAATACGATAAAACAATAATTTTACAATAATGAAATTAATTACGAAAAAATTAAGTAATTAACCAATATACTCTCTGATTTTTCTAAACCTTAAACTCTTAATTAATTAATCTATCAACGTACTGTCTGATTTTTCTAAACCTTAAACTTGTAATAATAACATATAAAAAATCTTGTCACTTTCTGTGTGTGTATAAACACTTTATTGTTTTTAAATATAAAGTTTACAATAGGCTGTTTACGCTTTATGTGAGCGACGAATCTTCTTGATGTTACTGATTTATATCTACATTATATGAAAAATAGTCTGTAAGAAATTCTTGAATTTAGATTTATTTATCATAACGTACAAATAAACTGATGTTTTAATTATTTTGAAGAAACATAGCATTGATAACTAGGGATGCATGGGTACCCGTCCAGATATTTGGCTCCGGCCGGTTATTGGGCTTCCCGGTAATACTCGGTTCCGTCCGAGTGTCGAAGTTAAAAACAGCTGAATCCGGGAAATTGAAAATGGTAGTTAAGCCCTAATCTTTGTGGCAACTTACCGAAAGTTACAGTCAATAACTGGTTCAGTTAAAAAAACGTGTTCCAAGCAACAAAGAATGACTGCCTACTGAAAGTTGGAGATTCAGAGAACAATACAGGTTATTAACAGGCATAGCTTGAGAAGTTGGGGCTAGGAATTAATGATTCTAAAACGTGTCAACGTTACTGTTCCTGTATTTATTTTCACTGGCCTCACTTTTGGAGGCTCGGCATGGCCAGGTGGTTAGGGCGCTCGAATCGCAATCTGCGGGTCACGGGTTCGAATCCCCGTCCCGCCAAACATGCTCGCCCTTTCAGCCGTGGGGGCGTTATAATGTGACGGTCAACCCCACTATTCGTTGGTAAAAAGAGTAGCCAAAGAGTTGGCGGTGGGTGGTGATGACTAGCTGCCTTTCCTCTAGTACTATACTGCTAAATTAGGGACTGCTAGTGCAGATAGCCCTCGTGTAGCTTTACGCGAAATAAAAAACAAAAAACAAACAAACACTTTTGGAAGTCAAATGAAGCTCGATTTCTCGCAATGGCTACGATCAGTGCGAACAGAAAACGGGCTTTTAACGCCGCTGGCAACACTTTCACACACGAAAGGTCAAGGCTTTTACCCGATAACGCCGAAATGCTACTGTTGCTAAAATACAATTTAAACCAATTCCAAAAATACAGGTATTCTGCAAACTGGTGTGCACATTTTTGTTAGTTAATTTTGAAAGTTGAAAGTAAAACTGGAATATTCTTTTTCGGTTAAATGTAATAAACGTCAAATTTGTTTTTATTTCTTGTTTGTTTGTAATTAAGCACAAAGCTACACAATGGGCTATCTGTGCTCTGCCCACCACGGGTATCGAAACCCGGTTTCTAGCGTTGTAAGTCCGCAGACATACCGCTGTGTCACTGGGGGCGTTTTTATTTCTAATTTTTGTGTATGTTGTTTTTTGGGGGGGGGGCGAGGGGAGAAACCGGTCCCGGTTGACACCAGGCCCCGGCCGAACCCAGTATTCGGCCAAATTTTACTACCCTTGCATCCCTGTTGATAACCGTATATTCTGCTGAGTTATAATTGAAAAACACTACATATCTTTAGACATAAAAAACAAAAGTATTACTGATATAAATATAATTTGATAAACTTTGAAAAATTCATTTTCAATACTTCGTGAGTAGTTATCTTACTTTAACAGACTCCTCAGTTGTAGTACTCAGATCATATCCTGATAACGGTATAACGCCAGCTATACTCGCATCCGGTGACTGGAGAAGAGATAAAAAGTGGTCGTAGCTGTCTCTGCACCATTGTCTGTTAACAATGAAAATACTTTCAGATTATCAATCATTAAAGTTATAAAACCATTTAATTTAATTAATATATAACTCATGTGAAATTTGAAAGTGTTCATTAACAGTCAAACGAATGTTGTTATTATTGTGCTCATCAAGTAAAACTTCCAAGGTCGATTGGCTAAAGATAAATTGATGAACATAAGTTCAAACGTCAATATAATATAATTAAAAATAAAGTTTCAGGTAGTTGGTTATTTTAGAAAAAAAAAGTTATGAAAATTGTCATTAAAGTCCACATTTGGTAATAATAATTCACGAGATCCGGCATGGCCAGGTGGTTAGGGCGCTCGAATCACAATCTGAGGGTTGCGGTTTCGAATCTCTGTCACACCAAACATGCTCGCCCTTTCAACCGTGGGGGCGTTACTGCCTTGATATAGAATAGAATTGTTCGTGACTGCTACAATAACGAATTTTGTAGTTCCTTAGATCAACCTTATATATTTGAACAACAAATATAACTTTCGTTTATCTGCTGGTGCCTTGGAATTCGGGATAGCAGGGTGTTGGGTGACAGCAAAAGTTTACAAGAGATCATTGTGGTCAGATATAAGATTGTCAGACAGACATTGAACGTCGGTTCTCAGGTTTTGGGCCGTGTCATTAGTAATGCCAATTCAGGTTTTATAAACCAAACATTGATATTCTCTCCAGCTTCGCGCATTCATTTCTCCATCTAGTTTTTTATTTCAATATTTATTTAATTTTTTTTTAAAGTTGGGAATATTTTCGGTGAGGTGAAAAGCTATGTTAATTTAGTAAGTAGAACTAGAGTAACAAAAATGTAGTTTCCACTTTAGTCTCCTTATTATCTATTATATACACAGTGTGTGCGCGTGTTTATGCCGTATTACAGTTGTGAATAGCAATAAAAATGTAGTTTCCACTTTAGTCTCCTTATTATCTATTATATACACAGTGTGTGCGCGTGTTTATGCCGTATTGCAGTTGTGAATAGCAACAAAAATGTAGTTTCCACTTTAGTCTCTTTATTATCTACTATATACACAGTGTGTGCGCGTGTTTATGCCATATTACAGTTGTGAATAGCAATAAAGGGGTACTTCACAATGAATCTTTCGACTCGGTTCTGCTTTATTAATTTAAATCACATACTCGCTTTATTATCCTTCCGTTTTAGGAAACTATCCAATCGCGGATCTTTTTACTTACTTTAATTGCAAAAAGCAACAACAAAGAAACCAAAAACAACTGGACTCGGTCCGGAAACTACATGGACATCACAACATCGAAATAGCATATAAGAGGGGACAACGTGACGAAGGTAATGTAATGTATGTGTAGATAGTGAGTAATTGAACTGCAGTCAGAAGTATTATTGACGTTCGTTGTTATAGCGTTTGTTTAGCGCGATTGTTGAAGTTGAGTGTATCGGTAAAGTTATATTCGGAAAGAATAAACCAGTGTTACGTCTCCGTTTGTTAATTAACTTTCTGTAACTTCGTTCCGACGAAACTTAAGCGACACAAGTTCTTTCTTAATAAAAACTGGTTTATTCTTTCCGAATATAACTTAACCGATACACTTAACTTCAACAATGCGCTAAAACAAACGCTAATCAACGAACGTCAACAATACTTCTGACTGCAGTTCAATTACTCACTATCTACACACACATTACCTTTTTTCTCTCCGCGTCACGTTTTCCCCTCTTATATATACCAGCCTACCCTACTAGTAAATACTAGAGCATTCGCCAAAGTA